ATTTTTATTTTAATGAACGGTTATCTATGTTTGGGTTTTCATCTGTATCGTGTACTTTTTCCATTACGAGGGTCTTTTTGGGGGTTTTTTCAAAAATCTTTTTTTTGACGAGTGACTTTTTTCCGTTGTTCACGAGGGTTTCCTCTTTATGTCGCTTTGCCAGCGAGAGCGTTTTTTACATTTTTTTTTTGAGAATTTGATCGCCATCAGTGTTCGAAGCGTTCCTTTTTATCATCTCATTCTCAGTGGTTTTCGGTTTTTCAAGAATTTTAAAGTGTCTCTCTGGGTTCGTGTTCTATGATGTTTTCTCGGACTGGTTCATTATTATCGTTGTTTTTGTGTTAGTGTTATTGCGGTTTTTGTTAAAATTTGTTGTTATCGTTACCGCTGAATTTATATTTTTGTTGTGTCTTTTGATGAAACGTATTCTACGATTATTGTTTCGTTTTTCGATTTGATCATACAGAAATTGTGTCATTTCGAGCGAGTGATTGAATTGTACTCGTTTCGTTTGAGAATCGTGTATTGAAATACTACATCATTTTGGATTTTGGGTGTCATTATCACTTTTTTGAATAATATTATCTTTGACATTGTTATAGTATTGGTATGGTTTCATTATGAGTAAGTTTATAGTTGAATTTAAATGAGAACATTAGTGAAGTTGGTATTGTTATTATTATTGAAATTGTCGTTTTTTGGTCGCTTTTAGCGTTTGTTGATGCTCTCAGTAAAATTATTATTGAAATCATTTTTAGTAGTGTTGATAACCGCGATGGTAATTTGATTGTTTGTTGATCTTTTGAGTTTGTTATAGTTATTGATCATTTTGATTATTCAATAAAACAATTTCATAAGATTTGTTTGTTACTCTGATAAATGCGTTACTATATGATTAATCTGATCTATATGGGTACCTCTTTTAAATTGGTATAGCGTCGTTGTTATCAGGTTTTTGGAATTTAAATGGTGAGATTATTATTATGTGATATGTTTCAGTACATTTCTTAAGTTGAATTAAGGTGGTTTTATAATTTTATCTGTTTGGAAGACTGAAAATCCGAAGTTTTGGTTTATTTTCAAACAAGAATGTGATGTTGACTGAAACAGTCGGTTGGGAGTATTATCTTCGGTTGTGGTGCCGTGATTATGGTAGATGACATGATTGGGAGAGGTGTAAATGATTTTTAGCTATTCTTGTTTGTTGATCAGTATTTGATCTTATGGATGTGTGTGATCAAATAATTTTTGTTATGTAATGAATGACATGTTTTGATTATTCGATGCTGTCAACTCAAAGCAGCTGTAGACCTATTCACATGAAATTCTGATAGTTGCAAATTGTTTTAATTATAAAATTTTACGAAGAGTTAGTTTATTGAACTGTGGAATGCTAAATGGTTCGTTTGTTGATTGTCTCCACTTTATCTACGTGTATACATGCAAAATGTGTGCAAAGACATTCCTACAAAAACAACTTAGGTATATTGCATGTACGTATAGTGCATGTGATCTCTTTTTAAATATGGTTAGCAATCAAATTTTAGACGAAAAAAACGAAAACGCAATTCAGTTGCACCGATAAGATGGGAACTGAAAGAAGAATTGTTTGTCTGAAGAGCGAGATAACGATGAAGGGAAAATGGTGGTCGAAAAATGGCTCAATGAGGCATTTGAATTGGAATGCAACTGATCAATTGATCAAATGAAGTGAGACAGTATTGACTATGTTGATATTAAATTTACATAGCAATTGTTATATCGTTAATATTGGCTGTGCTAATGAACATGGTGGTTGCAATGAATATGGTTGCATATGGTGTTGACGATAATGTTTTCAAATGAGTAGGAGATGAATCAGTAATCCTCGTATAATGCGGAATGCAAGTGGTCACAGCAAATAAAGATAGTAATAATCACCAGCTTAACAGTCTGAAAAATGCAAATTTTACGATCGACATTGTTAACATTTTGTTTTTTATTTTCATGTATCATATCAAATGAAACTGATGGAAGCGCAGAAAATCAGTGAAACTGCCAAAGTCAAAAAATTGTCATTGATAGCTTATTGGTAACTGATAAGAAGTACTGGTACTTTGAGATTTTTTTTGAAATTGTACTTTGAACACTAAATACCAATTGGAAGTAATAAATTCAACGGAATGATTAAATTCTTCATATCAATCCTTTATGAATGCAATGTTCATGGTTTATCGATGTGTTGATGTTTGTGCCTTATTAAATTTGGTCACTTCCAAACTATCACTAGCCATAAGTAAAATAATGTTCCGAATCAAAAAATTCTCTTTTGTGCAAGTAATTGATCATTTTTGATCATTGAGTTGATCAACTGGAACACTGGTCATGATCCGTCATCGATAGTGATCGATCTGGCAGTAATGGGTCATAGAACTTTGTGTTATCATATTCCTTATCGTATAATTTGGTGTAATTTCAGGTATATGAAATTCGCTCTGAAGT